GAAAACACTCCTGGGTAACAGTAGAACATTAGCACACTCAGAGTAATACATTACTAGCAGTGATGCCATACTGCATTGTGGTTTAATTGTGCTTAATGGAGTCCTGCAGTCTCTGTGATTTAGCTGCACATGTCAAAGCAGGGCAATTCCCAGTTCATCTGCCTGGAGAAAAACACAGCAGCTTTACATAACCCATTTGAGAGAATATTGGAAGCACCTCATATATTCTGCCTTCCCTTACCTCCTTCAGTTTATCTTTCTCTTCTCTGCCATATCAATGTAACAAATTCAAATGAGACCAAAAAACCTAAATTAAACAACCCCCTCCCACAAACACATCTTCACCCCAAATATGTATTTCCCCACCCAGTATTCTCTCCTATCTTAGTTCTGTTTTCTGTTAGACAGGGAAGAGACCTCAGCAGGTGTTTTTTGTCATCCATCCAAAGCCATTCACCGTTCAACAGCATATGGATGATGAGAGAGCTGGAATTGACATATCAAACCACAGGTCACAATTACACTGCCAAAGCCCTCCAGGAAAAGAAGGAAACTGGAACTTGACCATTCTGGTGCCTTCTATAATCAGAATAGTATTTTTGCTAGTGGGTGGGTATAATAGGATGGAGTCCTTGTGTTGTGGAAGATAGTGACAGAGTCAACATTAGAATTTAGTATGACTAGGACTTTATCTGAAGTCTTATAACACTATCATCAATACACTTAAATCAATAAAAAAAATTAACATTTTTAATGCTGTTTGCTCTTAATTAGGTAATTTTCTTAAAAGCATCTAATGTTTGGAAGGAAGTTTGCAGTCCTACCTTTTTTTTAACATGTGCATTTTGATACAGTTGTCATAAATAACTCATATTTTGCTTCTGCTTATTGGTGGAAAGAAATTAGCTAAAACTCTAAAATTTTAGAGTGTGTACCTTTCAATTGTCTTAAACCAAGACAAAAGTTTAGTTATTTAAAAAACCAAAACAATGGTACAGTAAGCACTAAGGCTGACTGTGTAAAACAGCTTTACCATTAAAATCTATACACCGATATGTGTATAAGTCATCTTTAGTTATGCAATAGTTGCCTTTTGTCTTTTTCCACATTAAATTTGGAACTAGTTTCTAGCTGAATCATATCAAAGCCCAGCTTGTCTAGCCAGGAGACACTGACTGAACCAGCCACAGTTCCTTTACAGTCACCCCAGTTACAGATACAGCTTTAAAGATGGAAGAATCGAAAGTCCAACTGAGACTGACAGGCAGATAATGCCATGTGCAGGAAAATGTGAAATAGAAGGCAGGAAATTTCTTCATCTTGTCATTTTTGTCCTAATAGAGCAACAGGATAGGCTACAAAGACATTGGCATCTGGGAAAATGGGACTCTACAGAAACCACCATATAACCCATGCACATGTTTATATAAATGTCTGTTTCATGACAGAGGTTTTAAATTAAAAAAAAATTAGATGGTTTGGATTTCAGAATTCCATTTAACTTTGAAATTGTTTACTTCCAATCTATGTTGCTTCTGCAGCTACCGTTGGTGCTGTGTGCTTTTCAGCTAATCATGAGTTGTCAGTTTGTGCCCTTTGCTGGGTTTGATAGCAGCACATAAGTGCCAGTGTGATTTTTTGTGTAGCATTGCCTCAGGTCTTGATACCCCTTAAAAAAGTAAGCACTGAATGCCAATGCATTTTCTTTGCCCCTTCTTTGTTGCTAATGCCAGAGGACCATTTAAATATATGGAAATTATGCTATTTCTTGCATGTTTACAGCTGGAGGAAACTCCTTTGTGGTCTCCTTCAAACACCACTTAGATTACACCACAAATTAGATTTGTGCACTCAAAGATTTATTTGTTTCAAACTTCTAAATATAAGTTAATTACTTTTTCCATTTGATCTAACTTTAGACCTTTTAAAGTTAGTCTGTTCTAGCCACACCAGTAGAAAAAGGCTGTGGAGCTCTTCACACATCTCATGTTGCTCTCAAGTGCACCAAGCATTAGCATGCACATAGGGACCCTCAGCACCGACTCCTTAAAACCAAAGGTATTCATTCACTGCTGGGTCTGTTGTCTTGCATTAGATCAGAGAGAACAACTAAGCAGGGAGGCAACCAGGAGACTAATGGAGATAAATGCAGACTTTCACTAGATGTTGTATACAGTAATAAAATAACTTTATGGATTGGGAGGGGGAAGGATTCATACAGATGTATTGTTAACATCCAGAATTGTGTTGATTTCTTACTCTCAAAAATATTCTCCAAAGAGTCACACAATATTTATTATTAAACAGGATGACTACTGCCATCTGTCACATCAGGAAACATCAGCATATCAGTTGCTACTTGACGTTAGAAATCATAGTGGGAATGCTGGTTTTTAGGGGGAAATAGCCAGCCTCTCTTGCACAATAAAAGAAGCCCTCAATACAGGAGGTATTTATTACATTTAAGTTATTTGGAATGCAGCTGTGTAAAGTTGTCAGTTTAGGACCATTTTAGTTTAGATGGTGAAGAATGAGTCTGTAGGTGGAAACAAGAGCCAATTCGAGTGAGTTTAGTTACACTGCATTAAGGTATTAATTTTAACATTCAAAAAGCTGGCACTCATGCAGAATTGCAGTGGCTGTGAAAAATATTGTCAGAAAGCTAAAATCAGTGGATTCCTTTCTACCTTCTTCCTTTAGTTTAAATTAATAGATTAGGAAAAAAAAATTCTTTAACTTTTTTATCACTATTCACTCTAGAGCAAGATTATCAAGCGATGATGCAGAACAAAAAAGTAGACTTATCATAATATCTACTTCTGTAATTTAATTTCAGATTAAGACCATGCTTGGAATGTGTTTACACTTTCAACTTTGGTGTATGTTGAGCATGTTTAACAGTTAAGTGACATAGCATAAGAGAAAGTACATTTATTTATGTAGAATGCCTTTATATATTTGTGTGGATACATGTATGTAAATTATATGAAATAGGATGGTTTATACAATGCACACCTTCTAAAGAAGAGAGAATAGTCAGGGATTTCTGTGTTTTGAATAAATTCTCTCTTCCTACCTTCTGCTTCTCCATCACATTCCAACACAGTCTTGATTCGTATCAGCAAGTTGTACTTCAGCTAACAGAGGCTAAGCAGCCAGCTTAGCAACTTCATTTAGGGATTCTCTCTCATCTCATACAACTATAATTACATGTAAGCCAGCAGGTCTGGCAAATGAACCTCTGGAATAGAATATTTTCACTTATCTCTCTTGAAACTCTCATGGCAGAAGTGTCAAGTGGGGATCTTACTCATAGCTATGGATTCACAGCCTGGACATCCAAAAGAAGAGAAACATTGCTGTCAACATAATTTCCAGTGTCTGACTGATTATCAAAATTAGCCGGTCGTAACCTTACTAGCTCAATTGCAATGGGTTTCCTTCTATTTTCTTTAAGCTAACATTAGTGCACCTTGCAAACACGTGTGTACGCACACACACATATCTGCATAGGTATATAAGTGTGAGGTGTATATAGGTATATAAGTGTACTGCACAGTTGCCTGGTGCAGTAGGAGTATCTCTGTGACTGCCCCACCTCCCTGGTGCCTTGGCATAACAGCTGTGAGGCTCTGCAAGTGGAACTGAACAATGGTGACAATGGTGACAATGGTTCCTCTGCCATGGAAACATCACCAAGGTGATGTCAGCTTATGCCCTTTGTTCAAACTGCTACCATAAAAAATAAAAAAAAGAGGCATGTCACCATTATGGAAGACTGTCTTCTGAAGGAACAGAAAGCCTGATATGCCAACAGAACCCACTTCTTTGAAAACTTTGCAGCCTCCCTGGAGCCAGGGTTGAAGGTGTGGATGGAGAGGTTCAGCCTTCAGATTATTGTCCATTATTGATTTCTCAGGTGGGCAGTGATAAAGTAGCTAGCAGACTAAGGGCAATCAGGAGATTGATTATTCAGGCCTGCTTGAGGGATCAGGAGCACAAGCAGTATATTCCCTGTCCTTCCAGTCACAGGGAATGAGGATGCAAGAAGACACATGAGCCAGCAGGTCAGGACCTTGCTCTGAGCCCTTCCCTACAAGAAAGGCATTGAGGTGCTGGAGTGTCCAGAGAAGGGAACAGAGCTGGTGAAGGGTCTGGAGCACAAGTCCAATGAGGAACAGCTGAGGGGCCTGGGATTGATTAGCCTGGAGAAAAAGAGTCTGAGGAGGGACTTCACCACTCTCTATAATCACCTGAAAGGTGTTTGTAGTGAGGTAGGAGCTGGACTCTTCTCCCAGGTGACAAGTGACAGGATGAGAGAAAATGGGGTCAAGTTGTGTCAAAGGACATTTGTATTGGATATTAGGAAAAATTTCTTCACAGAAAGTGTTGTCAAGCATTGGAGCAGGTTGCCCAGGGAAATGGTGTAGTCACCATTTCTGGAGGTATTTAGAAGACATGTAGATGTAGAGTTTAGGGGTATGGTCTAGTGGTGAACTTGGGAGTGCTACATTAACAATTGAACCAAGAAGTTTTAAAGGCCTTTCCCAACCTAAGCAATCATATGCTTCTGTGAAAAAATATAAAGAATGGTTAATGAGTTATTTGTACACCTGTGAAAGAGTTGTGGACAAAAAGACACAGCTGAGAGCTTATTTCCTTAAAAGCTTTGGCTCCCTTCCCCATCCCTCTGGTTTCTGGATTTGCCTATTTACCATGTGTATAGAACATTAGCCCAGAAGAGAAATTGTAGTGAATACACCTGGAAAGATCCATTGGGTGAAGTTTGTGCAGCCTGTCATTAGGAAGCCCAGTTAGTTAAATTTTGGCTCTTTTTGTAAGTTAAATCTAGGCAGATAGACTAAATATCACAAACATTCAGATTCTGATAACAGTGTTCAAAGAATAATGTTTCATCTTTAATAATTTCTCCTGGCTTGTGTTTGGCATGGAATTTTATTTTCATCTTATGATTTCCCAATTTCCTTCATTTTCCTCAGGAGAGAGAAACAGAAGAAGGAGATGTCAGGTGGCTTTCAGTTACATGCCTCAAAATGAAGATGAATTGGAATTAAAAGTTGGCGACATCATTGAAGTTGTGGGAGAGGTGAGCACATCTTTAATTTAATATACACACATGCATTTTTTACATGTCTTGTGCATGCTAAGCTCCTCAGTGCGTAATTTAAACCAGACATTTTTCTTCTCTGCTATACTGACCTGTCTGGTTTGGGTTACTGTTGGGGATTAGGGGATGTTGATTATTTTCTTATGGATTTTGTGACTTTTTCTTCCCTGTAGCATTTCTGCTGGTTTTACATCAGTTGATGTCTCAGAGTTATGTTCAGGGGAAAAGCTCCAAGTTTGTGTTGCAGAGCTTTTGAGTTTATATCTCTGAAGAACCAAAGATTATAGCAGAAGAAACTTTTTGCAGTTTTAGCAAGCCAGCCACAGGGAAAAATTACGTTTGCAAAGTTAAACACATTTAACAAATTTACTGGAATCTCTACTGGAGTTCACCTCTTGTCATCTTGACAGCAATTTTTAAGGATTTCATTTTCCTCTTAGTCAGTTTTTAAAAAACCCCGAAAACCATATTAAAACCCCCAACAAAATATTTAGAGATTCAAGATGCACTTTTTTTTGGTTAGAACTGGATGTGGAAAATGAATTACATGAGCTGGGAATAAATTATGCAAGCTTGGACAAAGAGACAGAGATTTTCTTTGCATGGGTGACTCTGGCTGCAGGATCAAGAAATGATGTTTGCTCCCAATACCTTCAGTGTTCCATTACAGATTTTACAAATATCTTCTTGATAGCATGAGGACCAAAGTCAAAATGATAACATGCATCCTTTAAGTTAGAATACATTTAAACTCATTTATTCTTATTTACTTAACTTTAAAAAAATGACCTTAGTCTATTAAGGCAGCCAACATAATGTGTGTTGCAGTTTGTATCATTTATTTGTATGATTTTTTTTCTCTGCCATGACTCAGCAGTTAGTAATCCAACATTCATTTTCTTGTCTAGGATATATAGTTAATTTACTTTTTCCTGCATCTGTCACTTAAGCAAATTGAAAAGAATATAAATTCTACTGTAATCTATATGGCATCCAGCATTATTTTGTAAGAGATTAAAGTCTCACATCTGAATGTAAGAAGCTTAGTGATCACTGGTTTTGCTCAAACCTAACTGTGCACACCAGCTCTGCATGTCATTCTTCCCCTGGAATCAGACATGATGTGTCACTTAACCGACCTTATTCTGTCTGTGAGGAGTTTTGTAATGGGGGAATTCAAGGTTGTAAGAGCATATTTTGATCATAATGTAAGCCCCACATCACAGTAAGTTTCATGACATCACATGAACTGTTTTCATTGGGCGATTTGAGGTATATTTCACTTCACACAGCCACACAAATACTACTTAAAAGTTTTAAGTCTGTATCTTTTAAAGGTGAATTGATGGAATAAAACATTTTCCTAGTATCCAGCCAACAAATTAACTCTACTGAATGAATTATATGATTAAATAATTTAGATGGCATACTAGGCGTCTCTTATGGAAAGTATCTTGTTGTTTTTTAAATCTGAAAAACTTAATTATGCATACCTGATTTATTTATATCCAAAAGAGACTGAAAATATCAGCATTAAAATTGAAAAATGTAGAACTATGAAAGTGAAACATTCCTTGTACTTGCATGTATGTGCTTATAGTTAAGGTCATGTTTTTTGAAATCCACTTGGGTTTCTCTTTTGGGTGAAAGTAAATTAGCTCGTTGAACAGGGAAAATAGGAAATTAAACAGAAATTCTCAGTGCTTCAGAAAGTATTGTGGGACCTTTATTTTCCATTCTGGTTGGTACCAAGCAGTTGATGTTGAACACTTCTTGTAACTTCCTCTTCTGCTGTTATAATAGTATGAATTCCTCGAAAAAGTAGACCAGAATGTTTCTTTTGAAACAGGAACTTTTATTTGATGCAGAAAGTTGCACCAATGAATGTGCTTATTTAATTGTTAACACTTCTGCTTTTAAGTAATGCTGCATAAAGAGTCATTGCATTGGAATAGAAATCATAGTAGTTTTGTCATTATACAATGCTTCTTATTTCAAATGATAAATATTTGATGTGAGCAACTTATTGTTTAAAAAATATGTCTTCCTCAGTTGTAAAAGTTGAAGATTTTTTATGCGAGGGCCAAAGTGATGCTCAGTTATTGTACAAAACCCCCCCAAAGAACCAGGGAAAAGCCTTTCCACATAGGCAACAATTTGAGATAATTCTTATAAAATACAGGTTTTGTTTATCTTTACTCAGGATTAAAAACTGGATGATCTCTTTCACATTATTTAGAGCAGTTCAGTGTAATTTGAACATTAATGGTAATTCACTTTCCATTTCCAATTGCTCTTTTCTCTTATCCCATCTTTTTATTCATTAATAGGTCTCAGATTCCCACAGATAGTATTTTTTGTATCATCCTAAGAAAGCTGTATCAGTTGAATTCATTAGTTTAATTGACTTGGATTAATACTTTAAAATCTCCATGGATTTCTGTTTAGTTGAAAAATAAATCAATTCCTAACTGAGTTACAGCAAATAAAACTGGTATTATTTAGGTCAAAATACCGTCTATATGTCTTCATGTAGTTATTGAGGAAAAAAAAAAGCAAAAATGTTGCTTCTGATTGAACAACTCACTAAGCTTTTCCTGTTAAAAAGAAAAGCTAATTGGACTTCAGTATTAAATGAATGTGCTCTGCTCTTCCTCAAGCCTATTCAAGATCACTGCCTCCAGCACAGGGTTGACAGGAGGGAGCACAAGTCTCAGATGCCTCCAGCAGTGTTCAAGTGTGTTTTCCCAGATTCCCAGGGAAAATAGGTTACACTGACATCACATGGGGATGAGCTGAGGGTGAGGATGTCTTCTCCCTCCTCTCCATATGTAATAGCACCAAAGGTACCCAGATACTTCTTCCTGGTGCCAACAGATGGGATAAGATGTTTTGAAAGGGTTTTTCTACCTGTAGTAGTGGTAGGTTAAATGGGAAATTCCTGTTGTGGCAGAAGTGATTTGGAGCTGTAGAGTGGATTGAAACAACAGCAAGAGTGAGTTTTGAACTTGTCACCAGATGCATATCCTTAGAGGTTGTGTGTGTTCAGAATTCACAGTTCCTTCCTATTTGTCCTAAGCAGTTAGAAATTAATTATAATAAGATCAAACATTCAACACAGTAGATAAAATGCTTGTCATTAAAATAGGTTTCCATAACTACAGAGACACTGATACCCATGAGGCATTAATTAACAGACTTAAATTAAAAGTACATTTAAAACTAACAAGAGAAGCATTTTCATCATTGTTTATGTTCACATTTATTGTGTGATTGATAGCTTTTTTACTTGTCATTTTCCTACCTCATTAGCTCTAACTCTAATTACAGTTGTTCTAAAATACAACTGTAACTAATTGTCTTATTAAATGCAGCCATCTGAATTGCAATTATGTTTCACCCTTACACTTTCATGGGTTGCCAGAGAATTAACCTGTAGCATGAGTGTAAGGACATTTGGCATGTCATTCAAGAGTTCTGAGGCTGCTTGTATTTGGGATTATTATGTCACTATGCTCCTATATACCTTTTGGCCTCCTCCTGCTCAGACAGCTTTTTGACAATGTGTAGTACATGGAGTTAAACTCACAAGTCTTTGACTGAGACCTTCTGTAATACCACTGAGCTTTTTCTTTGACTTTTAGATAACATTGCCATGTACTACCTGATCAAAACCTAACTGTTTTGAAGTTATAAAAATGCAAACTGAATTTTGACAAATCTGTTGTCTCTTAATTGCAAGATTAGCGGATGGGTCTTTTTTGGTCTTGTTTTCTTCCATGTCCAAGAACAAGATAAACTGGGGATTGAGCTGGACCTTTCTTACAGTGACTTCTTTTGGCATCTGTAGAGTTGAAAGGGGAATGAATATTTAACAGTAATGAGGGAATGGTCTGTGCCACAAATCTAGAGATGTATAAATTGCAAGAAAACAGCTGGGAATGAATGCTGGGGTTTCACATCTCTCAGTTACTTTTCTGTGGAATGCTTTGGCAGTTTTTCCAGATTCTGTTCTACACAGGTTGTTCATAAGGATTTCTATGACTACTTCTTGTTTGGTTAGTTCATGTTGTAGGAGACTTTTTTTGGGGAAATAAGGGTGTAAGTACTGCTGAGTCCATATAAGGTTATCCAAGTTCTACATTATTGTTTTCAGAGTCCCTTAGTTTCTTGTTTAGAAGATGGTATTAAAAAACCCCAATGAAAACCCAAACCACAAAATCAAACACACAAAAATTCCCAAAGCACATTTTGACACTTTAAAATAAAGAACCTTGAAGCTGAAAAGATTCCCTAGTACAAAGTACTTGTGCAGTTTTTAATTTTTACCTTCTGCACCCGAGTTATCAAACAGTTTGCAGATACATTCTTCTGTACCAGAATCCCAAGGGATGGCTGACACCTTAGAGGCATGGCTCTCTCTTATAATGCAGTCCCAGAATAAGCCATCAAGTGGCACTGTAGGCGCCATCTTCTCTTGAGGTCTTGCTTCCAAAATTTATTTTCCCATTGGCAGTGTATGTGATTTGTTTATTTTGCCTCTTGGGAATCTGTGTTTTTAATTTCCTTTCAACATGTGATTGCTTTTGTCCTTTGAGCTCAATGTTTTCCACTAGAATTTATAAACTAAGGGAGCTTTTTCCTTTGCTTTCTGTGCTCTAGTTCTCTCAAAGCAAAAGAAAATCTGTTGACCTTGAGCTTCTCTCTCTCCTGTTGCTTGCTTCTGGCATTGCTTTTATTCCTGGGACTGTGTTTTAGTTACAACAGCTCAGAAAGACTCTGTTATGATCCAGAGAGACTTTCTTCCATTTGAAACCTTTCCTAACTCAGAGCTTCCCTCATTTGCCTTAGCTAAGCTGTGAGTGATCTGTCAGCCTAATAAGCAAGGCTGCAGGTTGTAGAACATCTTGTGGAACAGGCCAATAGAGGAATTTATTGGAAATACACTTCAGGTCAGTGATTCCAAAGAGCTGAACATTTTAATAATTCACCAATTTTAGTCTATTAATTATACAGCAAGGTGTAAGGAAGCAGCTGTGGCAGTCCTAGATTTTCTGGCAAGTAGATGCTGGTAGAACTTCTTTTCCAGCATAGGGACATGACTGCTAAATGAAGCCCTCCTCTTTTTAGATTGTTTGGTTCAGCACATGAATGCTGGGCATAAATTAGGACATAAATGTATAACTTCTGAAAGCACTTTGTTTTAATAGCATGGTAACAAATTTTATTGAGTTCGTGCCTCCAGATGGATTACCCCCCATGAATAATGGATTTTCATTTGTAAGGTTATATTGGCTGTGAATTACTGCAACTTTTCAAACCATCTGGTAATAAAATGCCCCAGTTCGGGATAACTAAATCCTGGAGGTATTTTAGGGTCTTATATTGTATGCATTCATCTCTAGCTGGTCTGTTTTGAGGCTTAAGCATATGTAGCAGGTAGCTTTAATCTTTAAAATACTTAAATCTTTTGTTATTTTTTATGAAAATTTGCTAATACATCTTTGTGAGGACCAGTTTGACCTCAATCTCTAATGTCTTGCCAACATGATTCTGCATTTTCCTTGTAGAAGAAACCTCTGGGTTTTGCTTTAGATTTTTTTCCTGAATTTGTAGAATTATTTTATACAACATGGTATTTTCAGTCAATTTTTCAGTCAGCTGAAAAACTTAAAATAAGCTAATGAATGATCTGAGCATATCTATGTGCAGTTTGGATTTAGCTGCCTAAAGATCTTTATATATATTTACTTCTATACATAGAGATCCACAGATCAACGCATCACATAAAGAGTGCTAATGTTAACTATAAGAAAACTCAAATGTTACTCTGGATGAAGTAAGCAAATGAAAATTACTTCAGGAAAAGATGGAACTGAATGATATTGGTCACATATTTGTAAAGTAACCTCAGCATCTTGCAAAGCAAGAATCTTGGGAACTGTGTAAATCCTCTCATTAATCTTCTGATCAATCAGCTAATGCAGTTACGGTTTCATATTTAGCTCTAATCGATACAGCTACATGGGAATGCTGCATTAGAAAAATGGAAATATTTTATAGCTCAAAGAGTCTTGGCCATTTTGTGTATTTTCTATATAACAATATATTTTTATATGGAATATAACATTTCTATCAAATCGTCTTTAGAGATATAATTTGTAGAGTCTGAGTGCTGTGCATCATGCAATTTCAGTTTTCCATATTGTTTTTTATTAGTCTGGAGAGAAGACAGCAAATATTACCTTTTAGAGACTCTGATACTGTGATGTGAAAAAGCTTCACCTCACTGAAGTGATTGAGTGATACGTATGTAGCCTACCTTCTCAAGCAGCAGCAGGATAGTAAAAAGCAGGTAAAAAGCAAGATAGTAAAAGCAAGATAATTCCCAGTGATGTGCTGGAGCGCACCAGTACTACTGAGGCATTGAAGGAGGGGAAGTTTTGTCAGGGACAGATACTGAGATTAAATGAAAGTCTGGTCTGAATCACTTTCAAATTACAACAAAAATTCAACTTTTGAGATCAAGAAATATGGGGTTTTTATTAAAGTATCTCATGTAGCTAAATAGAGAAAAATGCACACATTCCTGTATCATTTGAGGAAATATTTGGTTGTATTATTGCGAGATTTCTTTCCTAAGGACTCAAGTTTTTCGCAGGTAAGTGAAAAGACTTTTCATGGTCTTTTTTATAATAACTAGCTAGCTTCATTTAAAATGTGGGGTTGGTTTTTTTAACAGTAAAGTTAACTTTTAATAACTAAAGGGAAGGTAGGCAGGAAAAAGATGAGTCAAAGATAATTGGAGATTGATGTTTCACAGACCTACACTGTCCTCTCCTGTCATATTTTTAGTGAAAGGACAGTGTCTGACAGATGAAAAACATTTATCTCTCAAGAATGTGTTTGGCTGATGCATATAATCAGTCATTTCTTGCTGTGCCATTATAACCTAAAGGCATCTCTAAGAGCTGTCATTTTACTGCCTGACACCACCATTCAATCCTGAATGGGTTATAGAGGAGAGAGTTGGCAATTTTAAAGTGATGTTTTCTCTTGGATTTTGGCTAGGTAGTGTCCTTCCTCCTCCTGACACTATCATTATTATTATGTATTTCAGTACCTCTTCATAAATCTCGAGTCAAATATGCATTACTACTGTTCTTTATTATCCACAGGTTTCTTACATTTACACATTAATGATGTAGCAGCATTCTTAATTTCTAAAATACAAAACTTCTGATTTTTATGGGGAAGGCAAGAATGTTTTCCTTATATTAAGATACCTAACTTAGATTCTCTGAGTAGCCCTTTGTAGGTGTTTCTCTTTCACCATTAATTACTTAGGGAATTCAAACAGAATCTGCGAATCACATCCACTATGATGGTCTTGAATAGTCATACAGCGTGCACTGAAAATTTACTGTTTGAATGGATATCCACAAAAATGGAAATGTAGAGACACTGTGTGCTCTCTAGTTGCTCTTTTATTATTTTACTTAATACTTGTCCGTGCTTTTGGCTGCTGTCAGCACTGCTGACATTTACAGATGGGTTCATGCATCTCTCTTGTTTTCACTTACAAAGAAAAAAAGAGAGGTGTTCTGGCTTGGAGCCTATGCCATGTGCTCCTTATACCTGAAATTAATTAATATAAACTATTCAGAGCCATTACTGTCGTTTATTGAATGTATATAATGGTACTCAGTAAAGTGTTGCTTATGTAAAATCCCCTTTGTCTTGGTGCAGGTGGAAGAGGGCTGGTGGGAAGGTATACTTAATGGAAAGACTGGCATGTTTCCTTCCAACTTCATAAAGGAGCTCTCTGATTCTGATGAAGTTGGAATAGCACAGGAGGAGCAAGTAAAGTCAAGTAAGGAAAAATTTATTATTGATGTTCTGTATGTATGTTTGTCTTTAGCTCATAACACATTGATAGGATAGCACATTCTTATCTCTTGCTTGGAAGTGTTGAATGCCATGTTCTTAATTTATGCTGAAAGGATCAGATGATGATTTATGTATACCTGCAGTGCTACCTGAGTTGCAACGTTGTCATTGCTCTCTGAGCTGTGTAAGACTTGCTGAGCCACAACAGACTAAGAGAAGACAGAAGGCAATGATGATAATGACTGCATTTGTATTTCACAATTAGTTACAAGGGATTTTTTTGTCTTTAGACGTGGAAAGTACAAAGTGGCTTATTTAAAGTGGAGGGATTAAAGTGCCATGTTTTCTGTAACAACTCCAATAGATTAAGGATTCATAATTACTGGTGTGGGACATGCAGCACTTTTTCCCTCCAGGTGCTGAGCATGTTTCTATCACCTCCAACACCCACTGCCCCAGCAGCCAAAGGGAAAAAGGCCAGAACTGGGACATGGACTTTGTTCTCTCATTTACAGTGGGCCAGTACTGCTGCAGGTGAAAAGCATGTTTGGTAACTAAGTTTGCAATAGTATAAGCATGGGAGTGGGTTGTCCTATTTAGAACTATAATCTGAACCAAAACTGTGCTGTTACATGGAATAGAAAGGTATTGATCTTCATTTTTTTTATGTTCTTCAAGCAGCTATTACTTTTTTTTCCCCTAATTCAGTGATCAAATCTGAATTTTCAGAGAAAAAAAAAAAAAAGTAATATCTATTTGCATTTCAAATTTCAGATTTTAATTCCACAATACTTGCAAAGGTCTTCCTATTTTTAGTACTGCAGATGTTCATTGCTATGTAACATTCTCCTGAGATCTCTGAATAAACAGAAGTCAAAGTACTACCAAGATCTTTGTAAGCTGATTTAAGCTAAAATTTAACAAAACCTTTATAATTTACTCTGTCAATAAAAGGTAGAAAATTATAATACTTTTTTCTTTTTTCCTTATTTTTCCACTTATGGTAAATTTGTCACCCTTATTCCATACCACCAAAATAAGATCCCTAAAGCCCTAACTTTTGCAGTGATGAAAATATTTTATGTTTTTTTTTGTAATAGAGTTCATTTTCATTGTGAATGTGTACTGGTGACCTAGGCTTGTGGTCAGTGCTGTTCAAGATACGTAAATGTAACTTTCCTTCAGACTGGAATGAACATATTTTAAACTTGAAAATTTTAATGTGATGGAGAGAGAGATCATTAAGTGAAGGTGCATGTTTCAGTGTGAGTGCAAACTGATTTCTGTAACCTGTATATGCTATAATGAATCATGCTCATTATAAATACAGTGAGTCTTGGAAGAACTAATTGTGTAGAGTAGTTTCAGCTCTGGAGTCTGTAGTGTTTGGTCACATAAGTGAACAAGGTAAGTGATAATGTTCAGAATGGAATTTCCCATTTTTTTTTATATAAATGAATGCGTATTCTTTCTTTTCAGGTTTTTTACTTCATAATAAGCATCCTAAAAATGGCTTTTAACAAAAACATGTATTGGAGTGTGCAAAAGCAGCCACAAAGCATTAACTCTTGATGTCCATTATGGCCCATGCTTTGTTCAGTCTTGGGTTTGTGTGCTGGTTCTCACTGTCAGTGGAACCCAAACCTGTGATACTTTTATGGAGAAGACAGCAGTAACACAAATATTGTTTTTGCATCTTTAAATAAATTTAAGGTAACTGTAGGTGGGAGATGGGTTTCTTATTTTCTTATATTTAATTTAATTATTTAGAGGTGCTTTGTGGCTATCTAAGATGAGGAGCTATTGGATATACCTATAAAACAAAAGAACACTGTAAACCTCCTGACAGAGAAACAGTGATTGAAGGAATGCTGAGATCATTATGGGGATTTAAATTTTTAAAATTTATTTTTCTTCAAGTAAAACTATCAATTTAAGAATTACATTCACTTAGGAGAATTATGGGAAATACACATCAATTAAATTTTTTCTGTATGTGGTTTATGTGATTGATACAGCTGGTGCTCTCCAACACATAGCGCTTCATGAGGCTCTATTCAGGCACACTGAATATCTGGATTTGAAAATCTCCGTAATCAGATTGCAAAAATTTCAACAAGTTTACACAACTGACTAGGAATGACAATCTCATTCCATGTTTAGTCTGAAAACATAGTAAAGTAAAAAATAAACAAGTAAACCCTGGAAGATTTGGCCAGCAGGCTAGTAGCACTGTTGAAATGCCCATGTCACATCTCAGAAATGTGTGTATTCATGCCTCTAGATCAGCTCCTTCCTCCATGGATGACAAGATGTGACAGCACCTTAAATCTGCAGTAACTCCTTTTTGTTTCTCTGCAAACTTTGAGTGCATCTGTATCACAGGACTTTGCAAGGTGGAATCCTTGAATATGAATTCTAAATTATGAAGTTGGCACTTGGGTGGGGGGTTGTACCCGGCATTGAACTCAGACCTTGGGCAGCCACTGAGATTCTGCTCAGCATTCAGAGGAGCCTAGAAAGGGTCAGGGTTTGGCTCTGCAATCTTGAGCAGCAGCCTTGAACTGTTCAGCCCAACACGTAAAATGGTAAGGTAATACTTGGCAGATTTACTGTGAGACCTAGGAAAATAGCACAGGATATGTGGAGAACTGGCACTGGGCAAACCCACAAATATTTTAAGTTAATAATTATATTTAATACCTTGGTTAAATTTAATTAAACTTGATTTTTAAATCACGTTTTACTGACCATCTTTAAAGAGAATTTTTGAAGGGCAAAGGTAATTTTGGTGAACTCAACGAAAAAGAAATACAGAAGAGAAAAATAACATAACTTGGCTTTTTAGAAATAAAGTTAATAAAATCCCATATTCCTCTGTCTTTCTGTTACAATCTACACCAGCCCCAATGGAGAGAAAAATGTCTGCTTTTATTGGTTTTGTTGTGTCCATGTAAATTTTATGGCAGATCAGAGTAAACAGACAGAAGAAATTATCTTGGTTTCTTTTCATGCTCTGCCATAGACGAACCTCAGAAGCTTGTTCAGAGCAAAAATTTCCTCTTTTGAAAATGCCTGGGGCTAGTTTTAGAAGTGCCAGATATTTCTGAATCCTGACTGTGGGACTTAGCTTGAACTTTATTTGGAAAGGGCTGGGAACCCATGCCTCCCTTCAATGGTGTGTGCTCAGCAGGCTGGAAAGCAAGACTGTTGCAAGATCAAAATATTTGGGGGGTTGTTTGTTTGATTTTAAAGTATAAGTCCCAGCTGTAAGGTGATTGCCACATTTCCTGTCTTCAAAGCCACATTTTGAAATGTGAGTACAGTACAGAATGTGAGGATCAGGGTACTCTTAGAGTAAACAGCAGTTCCTTGCTCTTTGAAGCATGCTCTTAAATTAAAATATTGCTTTTCTTAGGCCAACTGTTACAGCATGAACATGTAGTATGCATTATCAATTTATTACTGTATTAGATACATGGATTATAAGATTATTTTCTATATTTCTCAGAGATACAGTATAATTTTAAGACTATTTTCTATACCATTCCTTGTCAATACGGCCTGTTGAGAAGCAAAAAGTTGACATGTAATAAAAAAAAAATCTATTTGAGATAACCACAATTTCACATGGAGGAGGTTATTTCAAAAAGCATTCAGTATGTCCACAGCAGTGTCATGACAGCATTGAAAGGTGGCCTTTTGTATCTTGCTGTCTCTGATGTGTGTTCTGTAAAGTACAGCTGGGCCTCATGGTATCTATCAACTATTTTTGGGACCTGTTAGTGATGACCCCTGAAAAATCCTGGCTGCTGGAGTTAGAACTGTTGATAGACTCATCAGCTGATGCGTCAGTCAGGCAACCTCCTCTGTTTTGAGTTCTTAAAACTTTATTTTTCCATTACTGTTTCTCTGGCTCTCCACAGTGTTATCAAGCTTAACTTACTTTTCTCTTAGCAGAGTGTTGATGTTTGATTGTTTTAATAGCACTCTTTTAATGGTATCTTGTAAAAAGAAAGTGTAAAGATGAATTTCTAGCATTTTTACTTCCTCATTACACAAGGCAATGGAAACACTTTGTTATTAATTAAACTCCAATAACAAAACTAAGAATTAGCTTATTATAATATATAAATAAGTATAGTTTTTATTATCTGAAAGTCCAACAGAATGATGTACAAAAGAAAAAAATCCCACACATTTTTTATACCAAACTGGGTGCGATTCTGTGTTGCAACAATTCACATATACAGGTTATTTTGCTATAAAAGTTTACCAAAGACATCAATTTTTGTGATTGTATACCTAGGGGGGATTTCGAACAAGGCTGGCATTGGTATATTCTTGGGCTTGCCTGGGTTTTTAAACCTGACACACAAAACACTTCAGCTGCTCATGCCTTTACCTTCACTTGAATTTCATGTCCTAAATATCAGAGCATGAGCTATCTCACTAGCAATGAAAAAAAAATGGATTTTGTAATAAAAATATTATCTTAAATATCTTAGATGAGAAGTGGGATTTGGTTTTTGTAGTTTTACTGTGCTCCCTCCTGATTTTAGCATTTTGCTTTTGTTAGTGTCAATGCCTAGTCACACCTGATTAAGCTTTTAGCTGAAAAACTGATTTATTCAGGTTTTAGTGTCCTATCTTTCCTACTAAGCACTATCTAAGACCAGTTCCCATGTCCAAAATATTTCCAGTAAGTGATCTTGGAAAGATGCAATATTTCTGATGCTCACAGGATCCTGGTACAATAAAGAGATGTATTTCATTGTCCTGTTTGGATGTCAGCTGTGCTTGTTCAAGTGCACTACATCTGCAGCAGGAATGTTGAGCCACTGTGAGTACATTGTTGCAGTAATAATATTTTTTCAGAATTCCCTTGTGCAAGGCTGCAAAAACCAGACAAATAATTTTATTTGCAAGTCTCACAACTTGATGGACAACAGACCAAATCTAAGAAGAATGCATTCTGTTGGACATTGTAAATAACAGCTTTAGCAAAATAATGAAATTCTGTTATCTGACATACATGCAGTAAGAATATTTTAACTTCATGTACAATCAGATATATTTGTTAATGTGCTCCTCATTTTGCTAATGAGGCTTTTAAATGTCAGTGACTGAAAATACAGATTAAAACCTCTTCCTTTCCCTTCTTTTTACCATCATTCGATCTCTTTACCCCCACCCTGCCCCTCTCTTTTTTTTTTTTTTTTTTTCCTTCTTGCCTGCTGTCAGGAAAATCTGCCTTTGAAGGGACAATTCTGTACAGAGTGGCACCGGCAAAGATTGACAGCTACAGACGTTATAACAGTGAGTGTGTTGCAAAATCATCAAGCAATAGCTTCAGTCCTCTGAACTTGTTTGATTTATCTACACTTGTAAAATGTGCCACTGCTACCCACTTATGGCTACTCTACGTGCATATATCTGTAAGCTGAAGTCAATTTGCTGCTGATGAACTGCCCAGCCTTAGTGCAATGAGAATGCACCTGTTCCTCCTGTGCATGTGTGTGTTCTGTGTCCATACAATGTATGTGTATAAGCCCACTGTAAATTGTGAATTGGATGTTTTCGTCTCAGCTGTGGATTGAATCTAAGACCATGTAGTCCCATCATTTTTGCCCCTGAAATGAGAAGACTGTTGATAATCACCACTAATCTTTGAATTAAAAGTCAATCTGCTCTGAAAGTAAAGTTCCCATTGTGATTGTTGAACTCATAAAATATGCTTTGTTTTTCTTAAAGGATATTTTAGGTTTTGATTTGTTTGGACTTTTATTTTTGTAATTTTAAAATTTATTTTTACTTTACTGCATGCTCTTCATTTGGCATTCTGTCTTTGACAGTTATTACTCACAGCATTCTGGCTGATATGTTTTTTCTGCCAAGGAGAGTAAAAGATATAAAGCTATTTTCATTTCATGTTCGGGTTTTTGGCTTCTGCTTTTTGAAAGAAGGGCACATCCTGCTTTTCGTGTTCTTTTACAGCCCTGGTAATATAGAAAAAGAGAGAATGGTTATATCAGATTCAAGACAGAGGAAGCAAGGAAGACAGAAATCTGTCCTTCCACCTGTTTCCTCATGGAGAAATCTAGCTAAAAGATTCACATTTGGTGTGTCTAAGTGCAAAGTGTTCAGTCCTGTCTTCCGGTGAACAGGATGTGCTAGCTTTGGCATCTGCTTTTGCCCCAGAGAGCTTTCTCTTGAGAGGATCCATGCTGTGCTGCCCTTCTTCCTCCTTAATGGGTGGGAGTGTATGATCTTCTGCCTCTGAGGACTTCTGTCTTATGCATGTTAACAGCAAAGAATGAAGCCATTGAAGTCACATTATTCTATTCTGATATTTGCCCTTACACCTTTTTTTGTTTTTCTTAACAAATCTGATCCTTTTTTTGAACAAAAATCTATGTGAATGTGTGCAGCTCTGAGTATTTCCTTGTGGAACATTATCTCCATGTCTACCAGAATTCATTTTGCAGCTCTTTTCCAGCTCCAACCAAACCCTTGCTTTGGCTGGAGCAGACCATGTGGCTTTTGGCCTTCAAATTTTTGTGCTGCTTCTCACCTCCATGACTGATTATCAATCACTCAAATTTCATGCCTCTTGCAGAATTCTTAGACCCTCATGTTCTCTAATCCACCCATCTGATGAGCATAATAAGGATTTCTGAAGTTAATTTTCAGTATGCTTGACTTTGGACATGAAGCTTCAAATCAGATTCAAGGTCTGCCTTTGGAGCCTTTAATTTCACAATCCTACTGGGTAGTCCTGTGCTAACATTACCTTTTAAAGTTTTCCAAAAGCTTACTTTCCATGCCCAGCCTGTTATTTATTAAGGGCGAAATCATCCTTCCCCTCTTTTCAAGTAATCTAAAGTAAGCATAACTGAAGCCAGGAAGAATGCACTCACCTTTCTAGTTGTGCTAGAGCTCTGCATTTAGTTCTTCTTGTTAATTATACTGGCCCACTGTTGTGCCATATCACAGAAAAGAAATTGCATCAAACTGATTTTAGAGTACAGGATTGGATGGGTGTCTAGAGGAAAGCTTGATAACCAGCTGCAAGAAGACAGCTTAACCCACATTGCTCTGGGCAAACAGCCTTCTAAACTTTGTTTTTAAAGCTGATAAAATATATCTGTTTATACTACCTGGAGTTGGTTTACTTGGAGGTTTAATTCTACCTCCCTTGGCATTTGGTTGAGACTTCCATGTTTTTTTCATTCTGCAGAGGTGTGTTACTATCTCCATAAAGCTGCATTCAGAAGGCCAGATAGCCAGCTACACTTATGGCCTGTTAGTTGCTTCTTGAGTTGGAACTGGGACTGAGGGATTTGTATCAGGTCAAATGGGGAAGTCTTAAACAAAACAAGGGTTTGCACTTTTGTTGCTATCAGAGATGCTCTTGTCTAAACTAACACACAAAAAGGAGGATCCCTTACTCTCCCTGCTCCATCTATTTACAGCTCTCTTCCTGCAAACTTTCTCATCATGCTCTTCCTGAAGAAGCTGACTGGTGGTGCAGCTAGCTTCTTCCATTTCATGTCTTCTCTGTAGTCCATATTTTTAGGCAAATGTCCATGAGCTTACGTCTCCAGTGAAAACCATTTGGAGACATTCCACAGAATTGTTTTCATTTAGGGATGTCTGGTTAAAACAACTCATAGCTGCTCTAATTTCAGCTTGCTGATTTCTCTGTGAATTAAGCTGGAGTCAGTTCATAACTTTAGATTAGTTATGCCTAGGCAGTGCTTGGATTCACCTGTGTCACATTGCATGAAGTCTTGCTCAACTTTGTAATCAAGCTTAGAGCTTTTACTTCACAAACACATGCTCAGTGCTCAGTGCTAAATACTTTTATTTTGAAAGCCATTTTCCAACTGCTGCGTTTAAAATATGTTTTCTTGCTTAACCAAGACCTGTAATAACTGTTGAATTGGTCAGTGCATCTAGAGATACCTTCCACTGAAATATGCAAGATTTTCTCCTGCAGAAACACCTGGCCTTGCCTGTATATGCTGACATGCCTTTCTTGGTCATGAGGTATGCCAGGCTCCGCTCAAAAACAATTCCAGCTCTTTTGGCATTCTGCTCATCAACCTGCTGTCAGAAATCTTTGCTACTGCATATGCTGGAAGAAGAGAGACACACAGCAACAAAAAACTTGTCATTTTGTTGATCACAGCCCTCTTTTTTCTCATCCTGCAACTTTCTTGCACCTCCACAAACAACGCTTCTTGGATTTCTAATTTTTTTATTTTTACTAATTAGTTTCTCTTTCTTGCTTCGCTTTTTCTTCAAAGATGCAATAACTGAGGAACAGTGCAGATAAAATGCTTGATTTGACAAATCTTTGCCTCTCTTTCCTTATATGTGGATCCACAATGCTGTCAGTAATAGCTATTAGATATAATGGAAGAAGATCAGGATCGTTGAAACAGAAACGTTCGTGAGTAACCTCAATTGTGTTTTGTGTTTTCTATTGCTCCACCACTTTTTTTACCCTTTTTTTTGTCTCCCTCCCCTTAATTCTTGAGGAATTATGGCTGGTCAGAGTCCTGAGAAATCAGTATGTTTTGATTTCCATCCATTTATGATGTTGTAAACCCCATTTAGGAGTATTGGAATGTGAGCAAAGTTCAATGAATGAGCAAAATGTGCATTTTAACAGTTCTGAAGAGAGGACAGTTACAACTTTGTGTTTCACCTCACCTTGTTACAACTTGCTTGCAAAAGGGAGCTTGTATCAAATACACAGCTGCTACAGATGCTGCAATGAAAAGATAACATCTGAGAAAGAAAAATTATAAAATTGTGGGAGAGAAATTTTCATGATTAAAAATTAGAATCCTGTTTGCTGAAGAACAAATGTACAGATGACATGGGATTGGGGGCCATGTGTGGAAAAATCATGTTGACTGGGGTGAAATGTGAAATCCTTCTGCTGTTTGGAATTCCCATTACCAAGTGGTTTTCCATGAGTTCACAAAAGACCAGTGCTTGTGAGTGGCAGGTAATGAACCCTATTGGCTGTGTCTGCTTCTCTCTCCTTCCACGTGTGATTATGTGCCTGTATTGGGTGAAGGGGGTGAAAAAAATAAGTCCCCAAATGAAGAAGATAATGGTTGTCTACAGTTGTAGAGCTCCTGAACGAATGATTGTTCCTGTTTGCTCTTACAGTACTTGGGGAAGTGGCTGGGGAGGTGGGGAAGCCACCAAGTTCTGCACTGATGGCTCTGTGCTCGTGCTGCAGAAGATGCTTGTTCTGCATCGCCCTCAATGCATGCTGCTACATGGGGCCAGGCACCACTCCCTTGCATGACCACTTCTGCAAGCATAGAAATCGTGGGGCATCTCTTATGTGGCAAGAACTGTTATGCAAAGGAAAATGAACATGTTGAAAGCAAATGACAAAATATTTAGCTAACACAATTAACATTTTTCAAGGAACGACTGAGAATAACAAATAATTACTAATATTGAGATAGTCTGCCTCAGCTATTTGTACATGTATAATCACTCTTGGTAAAGGAGCATAAATTTTTGTTTTGAAAGAATGAATTTATTAATCTTTAAGAAGAATCAACAACTCTTTCTTCTTCAGTAGTATTTAGAATCCAATTTCATTTTCTTTGTTTTGATTTTTTTATGATACTGGAATGCTGGGGATGGCTTCAACAAAATACAGGATTTTAATAGAAAGCAAGCTCAAGACTAATAACTTATAGGATATGCGTATTTCTTCTGTGTTCACCAGTATCTGAGGAAAAGGAAGAAGGACAGTTCCTGTCTCATCTATTGCAATTACCATGTATAACTTCATCACCTTTGTCACTCAGATCAATCATCCAGGCGTTCCATGGTGTCATTCTCTAAATTGAAGGAAAGTCATGTTTCCCCTTGCTTTCCTTCCCTTCCATAAAAGTAGAAAAACACAATAAGCTTTGTTTACAAATTTCTTTGTTCTATTAAACACAGTTGGCAATGTTTCTGTCTAGCTGCCATATCAAATCAGGAGATCCTTTGCATTGTCTCAGGTGTGTGCCTCTGAACAGCTGCCATCGCTTAACAAAGCTGGGAAGTGCTTAGAGGACCAGAATACCACAGGCTTTTACTGTGTCAGTGGTCCATCTTTTGCCCAGGGCCACATATTGTCAGCAGAAAGAGCAATTCAGAATAAAACCCAAAAATTAAATTGCCAAATAATCGCTCAAAATAGAAAGCTCTGTAACCTTAGAATGTATTTCCTTTTCTCCCCTGCCATTTTAAGCTATTTAGAAATAATTTGTTTCCTGCTTTGAATGGAGATAATTTTACCACAGCTGTTTATTTTTGTTTTAACAGCTTTAGTTATACAGCCCTTTATCATCCCTAACTATCTTTCTGCTTTAGAATCCTGGTTTGATGCCAGCATAGCTCTGAGAGGCCATTTCTGAATTAAATCTGATGTTGTGGTCTCTTTTTAATCCCTGTTTGAGCTAATCTGTTTTGGTACATTTCAGAATGTTGCTCTCAAAAGACCTGTAACTGCTATAGCAGGAGTGTGGTGTGTTTGAAATGTCTTGAGGAAACTAATCTTTCTTCTATATCCATAGAGGAAAAAATGTGTGAAGTGCAAAATTCCTCCAGACATTTTTGAGAAAATTTAATCTTCATGAATAGTAAATGAGCTTGCATTTGTAAGGAGCATGAATCAATAAAGAATCAAAATTCTGAGTTTTTTTAAAAAGCTGTAGACCCATATCTTGTTCCAGCCAAAAGCTGGGAACAGTTGCCCCCTGGGAATTTTAACTTCTTGCTGGTGATGGTGCCGTTGTTCAGACTTCAGGGAACTTACTAGAAAAATGCAACCAGTGCTTAGATTTGAGCTCTACTTGTGGTGCTACAGATGATTCAGCAACAATAAATCTAGGTAAAAGAATAGCAGTTTTCTTATAGAGCCAGAAATTTGAAGTGACACTACCAAAATACTTGAGAAATATTACAGTTCTGAAAAACATTCCTGCTATTAAGACTGACGTGATAGTAAGCATGTTAGTGAGCACCTTATTGATGTTATGTTCTTAGCTTGTCAGCTCTCCAAATGCTGACAGAGAGCTGACAGATTCTAGAGAAGCTGCTGTTTAAAAAAAAAAAAAAAAAAAAAAAGTAGCAAAATGTAGTGAGAGGCCTGACTACTGTAGCTTTTATCCTATACTGGCTTTGTTTGAAGTACTTAATGGGCTTACAAGAAGAGCAAGATGTTCTCAGTGTTTCTGAGGAGAGCAGTTTGCTGAGCTGCTGGCCTCATCCTTGTGCCCAAGGCCATTGCTGTGGTAGAGCACAGCTGTCTCAGGCTGAGTGGGTGTGATGGTCAGCAGAGAGGGGGACTGTGACCACTGAAATTCTCTCCAACTTTTAATGTTCATTTAGCAGCCTAACCTCCCTGATAGCTGAAGCTCTTCATGAAGAAAATTTCATATTTAAAATGCATAACATGACATGACAGTCTGTGTCACTCGGGTTCCTGCCTAGATCCCAGCTGTGTCCATGGGCTACATTTATCTGTTGGAGAAACTATCCTGCCAGCTGTGTTCTGCCACAAGCTAAGCTATTTGCACACTGGCAAAAAATTCCATGAAAAGCTGAACAAAAAAAACAAAAAAAAACCCCAAAAAACAAAAAACCACCAAAACCACACACACACACACAAAAAAAACCAACAAAAACCCCAGTGTGATTAGAAGAGGAGCATTTTTCTGTTTTTAAGAGGAAAGATCACCTGAGCCAGGTTGCAGGTGCACCAAGAGAATTGCTGATAGACGTATACTGATACATATATACACACACACACATATGTATCACAAACACACATATATATATATATGTATCAGGGAACAACCCAATGAAAAAATTAGTGAGGAAAGAATTTTTCAGGCAAGGATGGGCATAGTGTTGTAAATCCTTGCTTCCAAGTTTTTTATCTGTCCAAATCAGAAGACTATATCTCATGTACCTGAACAGGAAAGTAAGAGAGAGTCTCCTTAGCATGCCTTTAATAGTAAGAGCATGTTAGGTTATTTTCTGCAGGACTGTTCTGTACTCAAGCAATGCATTATTCTTTCTATGTGTTACTGCAGATCCTCAATTTATCTGATTTGTTCTACAGTTTCCACTGCATACAGTTCTTCTCTTTTGTCCCCTTTGTCTCCAGATCCCAGTCATGTTGTGGTAAGAGCACAAGCAGGGCTTTTATTCTTACTGATTTATTTAGCTAAGTACAGAGAAGTCCTCAGTTTGGGTCAGTCAAAAATAATGAAATTAGATCATTTTCCCAGTTGTTCTGGAAGAAATCTTTTTATCTTTGAATGAACTTCGTATCTGATCACCCAAATGCAATTTAGTTTGGACAGGCCACACTTCAGTCCATTCTGTCCTCATTAAAAAAAAAAAAAAAAAAAAAAAAAAAAAAAAAAAAAAAAAAAAAAAAAAAAAAAAAAAAAAAAAAGAAGCAAGAAAGAAGGGAAAAGAAGCAATGCTGTTATTTCCTATGTTGCTTTCATTTTGAGGACTGTATACCAAGACAGCTCTGTGGCAGTACAGAGAACAAACAACTCTTGGATTATCATCAAACACAGATGGGTGATGCTTGGGAAATCTGTTGTGACCCTGAGGTGAGGCTTCTGATACAAAGTGTGGTGCCTCATCACAGAAGAATGGTCATAAAAGCTGAAAATGCTGTAATAAAAAACAAGTGATGACCCAGAAAGAAACAAAAGCTATATTCTTATTAGATCCCCTTGAGGTTTCTGATCTTTCTTTCATGTAAACTTCAAAGATCTGAAGTCCATGTGAGACCTGTTGAGTAATTCTCACAATTACTTTCATATTTTAATTCTATCCACTGACCAAAGTCCAGATCTTCTTCCACAATTAGGGATGCAGAGAACCTATTTTAATAACCTATTTTAAAAACAGATTTTCTGTTAATTCCAAGGAGTGGCTAAGAGCAGTCATGGATTCTTATCAGTTACTTCTGGAGGGAGGTGTCTTCAGTGCTTCTTCCCTCCATCACAGAATAGTTTGAGATTTTGGCAAGAATGACAATAGAAACCTTTGCCAGAAGGTAATTTTCCATATCAGGATATTTTGTTCAGCTAGAAAATGGCAATCACTACAATTTGTTTGAGTTTTTTGAGTTGTGGAAGTTTTATACTCACTATAGTCAATTGCTGACCATTGTCTTTGCAGTTAGAAGTGGTAAATAAAGTTGGTTCTAGCTTCTATCTCAGCCAGGGCCCCAGTGATTGATAATTTGCAAAGCTGGAGAAGATTTATCTGTAGAACTTACAGCTTCTTCAGTTACTGCCCAAGTCAGAGCAATGGTAGGGAACAAGAAAGGGGCAGTGACTTTAGCCACACTGCCCAAGGAGATTTATACCTCTCTAGCTTAATTTACCCTTGTATCTCGGAGTGCCTCTGCTGGAAACACTGTGCAGTGGCTCTGCTATGGATAGCCACTCCTCTCCTGCCCTCCAGAGCACCAATCAGCATTGCAGTCAATGCTTAAATTCCCTGCTTACCGATTGCCTGAGGTCTGGAAGAGAAGTAGTGCGCAGGATTTACTTTACTGATGCTACCATTCTAACTACCATAATAAAAATTATAATTAACCAGATTGGAGGTTTTCTCCCAGGCTTACCTTAGAAAAGTAAAACATAAAGAAATCAAGACTTTTGCATATTTAATTATGTATTAATGAAAATATTGTAATACTGTATTATCAATAATAAATGTAATAATAATAAATATGATTATTAAGTATTGTAATGTAATTATTTAATATTAATTTAAATTGCAATCCTGCACAGCTTATGGAAAAAATAATTTGTTCGGTGTTATTTGAATTGAATATCTGATTAAATAGAAATGTTGCTGATATTCAACAATAGATGAGCAGCCACTAAGGAGGCTAGAGGGCCGAAGTATTTTGTTTAGTCTGTAGTCTTTCTGTTTTTTTCTAATTGGGAACTTTCTCTAATTCTATTTTTATACTCATTTCTTGTTAAAGATACACAAAATCTCAGGGCAGCATATCATGGCTTTCCTGTTTTTGGCTAAAAGTCCTGATCTGACATGTAATTCCTGATTTGATTTCCTAGCACCCTGGTTTGAAACTCATTTAACAAATGAGGCTCTCATGTCCTGGACTTGCACTGGTTTCAGTGGTTCATCTGTACTGTCAGCCTTTAATGATGAAAATGAATTGCAATTTCTTTGTTAACCTTGATACAAAAGTAATTAAGAAGAAAAGCGTATTTGAAATTCTTCTTTCTTTGACTTGTAAGATCCACGTCTGTGACATCATGAGTGCTTTTTAGGGAAATGTGAGGATTTGAGCTCCTTATTGTTAGTTAGAATTAGTGCTGTAGTAGCAGGAATTGCTGTGGTTTTCTTGGAAGCAGTTCATGTAGGGAGGCAGATTTAAGTGCTCTAGGGAAGGAAACTTCAGTGGGTCACTTTTGCTGCCTGTGGCTGTTTGAGCTGATGCACTCTTCTGTAGAATGGCTGAAACATCACCTTATTGCATCTGTGGCCTCTGCTTGCTATTCAAGCCACAGATATTTTCAGATAAATGCAGATAAATTTTCCTATTCACTGAAAGAAGTAATGCAAATCAGAATGTCAGTTTTGATCTGTTATATTCCTAGAGGAGAGTGTGCATGGGTGCTTTTCTTATGAGGCTGTCTGTGCTGCAGAGAGGTTTAATTTTCAGCAGGGAACATATTATGCAGCTTATTTGATTGCAAATTTGTTTGAACAGCTTTAAGCTTTATATTTCCCAGTTAGGTAATGTAGCTTTAGATACTAATTGCATAATTGGCTTGAGTCACACAGATTTAAGGTACAGCATGCCTGATCTGACTGCTTGTTAGCTTTACATGGCTTTATACAATAGGTGCCTTACAGCTGAATTTAACTCTTTCTTTTATTGAAGGTCACTTCCAAAGAGGTTTTGCCTGAGGAATAAGGATTTTCTTGGTATTCAAGAAATCACCATCCTAATTTGTGAAGTTTTGATGATGGATTATGCATGTTTTGTGAATTTGTGGATTGGTGTAATTTCTAACCAGTACACCCATGTGATGAAATAAAGTCATTTTTCCAAGTCAAAATGAGTGCATGGCACAGAGAGCATCTTCTCTACCTGTTTCTTGTGGTTTTGTTTTTCTCGAGAGGATGGTGGGAGGGATCATTTTCCAGTCACAATCGGATCTGAAAACAGTGAGTTTCACACCCTTCATCCCTCCTTTTCACAGGCCTAAAAGATGCTACAGGCTCTGAGAGTGATGGTGGTGACTCTTGCAGTACAAAATCAGAAGGAGCCAATGGAGGCACGACAATCCAACCCAAAAAGGTCAAAGGTGTTGGCTTTGGAGACATCTTCAAAGACAAACCCATAAAGCTACGACCAAGGTCAATAGAAGTTGAAAATGACTTCCTCCCAGTAGATAAGGTATGTATCCTTTCTTCATTGTCTCTTGGTGTTGGTTCAAAGAAGTTTTCAACTTATAGTTTTAAGTTGTCACTGGGCAAAACTTTAAGCTTTATGGTCATTATTTCCTAATCTTCCTGTAGACAAAGTTCTGCTTTTTTTGTTTTTGCCTCAGACCAGAAAATGGATTCCAGTGAGATTAACTGCTTGATAAAATAAACAACAAATAATTAAAAATTCATTGCTCTCAAATATGTTCTTTATGAAGACAAAAAAGAATTGCATGATTTCCAATGAAGTCTCGACCAAGGGAAAAAAATCTGTGAAATCCTTCCTTGAAGTGAACAGATTTGTTCACTTAAACATACTCACACATCAGTTACTGATGTGCTGAGAAGAGTTAGGAGGCTTCCACAGCCTCAAGTTCTGCATAGTTACATGATGCATTTTCTGGGCTCCCAATGGTGATTTTAGGAAGCTTCTGGGTTCTTGATACCTGGTGTGGAAATTTCTCACCTTTTGATTCATGCTTGTCCACGTGTCTGTAGAAACAGGTTCTGCAGCAATTGCCTTTTTTGGCCTGCAAGATTTTTTTTTTCAACCTAGATAATCTCAGTGATCTGACTTATAGCACAGCACCTACTCCCACATCCACACTGAGTTAGAGTAGTACAGGAGAAGAGGAGGTCCTGCAGAGAGAGATGGAAACTTCTGAACTAAATTATGCTGAGGAATATTTGGTTAATATTTTACAGGTGACCATTTTTCAATTAGTATAAAGCGGGTAGGGGAGAGCTGGAATAATCTAAGTAAAGGAAAAACCTGGACTGTATTACTGCTTGACCATTGCTGACTTCTTCAAAGCCTGCTTGCCTTCTGTTTCTAGGTGGACTTCCTAACTTACATGTGGGGTTTTGTAAAAGCATTTCTTTTCATTTGAAGTGTTTGAAAAGTCCTTATGAAGTGGCCTTCATTCCTTGAAGGAAAATCTTACTCCACTTTATAATTATGTGAAGTCTTACCTTTGTTTTGCACAAACAATAACAGGTTTTTTACCCAGCCAAAAATGGAATATACAATTTTCAGGAAACTTATAACACAGACCTTCCTTCCTATGTCTTCAGATTCTCCTAAAATTGGCATGGTTAGTAGAAAAAAACGGCTTCATTTTGTAAACACAATCCATCATTAGTGTTTGAAATGTGTAGCTAACTAAAGGCACCACTTCTTTCCTGTTGATGCTTTTTTCCTGTCTAGGATTAGGTTAACCTTTGAGAGGTGCCATTCAGAGGCTTCAGCACTGTGGTCTTTGCCTGAGAGCAGCACCAAAACATGAGTCAGTGACAGACATCTGTTAGGACTGCAGACCATTTACCTCCCTAAACACATTTTTCCCTGCTGCAAGAAATGTCTCCCTTGTCATTGCCATGTTCTTTACCATTTAATGTTGACCGTAAGAGAATCCTGCATTAGGTTGGCCATTACTACCAAGGTCCAATTTAGCTTGATAGCTCTGCATACTGGTTCAAAGTGTAGCAATGCATGAAGAGTTCCAAATTCATCCATATTTTTCTCAAGCAATGTTGTTTTTAAAGGGATCTTTGCCCTGTTATGTGTATTTATCATTTACAAGTAGCCTTAGTTTTTCAATAACTTGTAAACTTCTGAAGAAGGACAAAAAATGCTTTCCTCTATTCCCCTTTTTAAATATTTTTTTAAGCTTTCTGAAGTTTGGAGAAACTAAAACTCTTTCTGTTGCTTCTTGATAGTTATTGATGAAACATTATTGATGTAATGATGATTTTAACTTTTTGATTGAAATTATTTCCTAACAACAGTTATTTTTTAAAAAGCACCAGTAATCTACTGTGAGGATTGTATAATGGGGGATTATTTATAACATGATATTTCTCATGTAAAATGTCAGTCCCATCTACAGAATGATCAGCAGGGTCTTATTTTGTTGGTGTTATCACTTTGTGTTCTAATATGTTTTCAATTTTATGAATCATAAGCTTAGATCATATTTCACACAGAATTACTGGGGTGTTAAAAAGTCTTTTACATAAATATTGGCAGGAACATGAAGGCAGAAAGGTTTGCTGCCATCTGAGCAGAAGCAGATGCCATTAGGGTCTCCTGTAAATCACCAGGCAGTTTAATGTGCTTCAAGTGTTTGCTCAATGGCAACAATGTGTAATCACCCTTGCCTTTTAAGATGATCAATAAACCCTCAAAAAAAGCAAAACTGAGGAGTTGAATGAAACCCCATTGGTTTTATTGGTGTGCAGAAATCATTGCTTAGCTGTTATTTGTTCTAAAATCACAGAAGCAGATTATCCTAGGGAAATTAATGATGCAGTTGTGGGAGATTGAGCAGTGCTGTCAGAGCTTTTAGAAAAATAGAAGAACCAAATACTTATGCTTTGTAGTCCATTTCATTCCCTCTTGGTGCTGACGAGTCAACCACTGGCAATGTATCAGTAGAATCAGATTCCTTGGGCCTGGCTCTGACACATTTCCATTACTGATAAATGTAAGTGAACTGTTTTACAATGCTGCACCTGACTGAAGTCATGGTCACGTGCAGTCATAGTCAAGACTCACCAACAGATGATTTTTTGGGAGAAATACATGTATGCATACAGACAGGTTGTGTGTCCTGACAAAATTCAGTGTAACACTCTTGAAGCAGCACAATATTTATGGTCAAATAGAAGTGCCTGTCTCACATGGCTCACCTCTGCTCTGCGGCTTCAACACATTTAAACAGGTCCTTCTGCTAACTTCTTTTTTTACTTTTCCATTTTGTAGTAGCTTATCTAAAGCTTCTGTTGCTAGGTTGGACTTCCTTCCAATACGATCTGTATGTGCTTCTGTTGTTCTAAAAAGCTATCATTTTTTCCTCTTCTGTATCTAAGAATAAACCTCTACAAGCACAGGAAAATTAATTCAACCAATGCATTCCTTAGTCTGAGTTTCCTGTATTGGGTTGATTTGTGAGCTAGGGCTTCAGCTTGGAAATGCTAAAGACCATGATAGGTGAATATAAAATAAGAGGTCTTAAAAAGCTGTTTCTATCTTTCTGAAAACTGTCCTTACTTCAGAAGAGACTACTGGAAGTATTTTTTTACATTTTCCACTTGAGATGTATTTGTAACTTTCTTCAGGCAAAACTTTCATTTTTGGCTAGCAGGGGTAGATTTGATTAGAGCTAGATTTTATGAACATCCTTTGATGAGATCACAGTACTGTTTACCACAACTTAGTGCAAATTATATACTCAGCCATCAACCCAGAGAGTATTGCAGACACTGTAATGATTTAATATAAAGGGGGAAGCTATCATGGCTCTAGAGTCAGCAACTTGTAACAGCTAGTTAAATGGTGTTTGGAGATCCTTACTGCAAAGCAGTGAATTCATACAGGAATTTATTTTTTTTTAATACATTCACTATGCTTTGGATAGGAGAAATGGAGAAGAACTAATGGAAGCAGACACAAGGGCTAGAGGGGCTAGAAGCTGTTGTCAATTATTAAGCCTACCTGTCCTTCGTAATAAGATAAAAAATTGTAAACTCTCAGACTGAATGCCTGCAAGGTCTGAGTTTCTATTCTGAGCTGGCAAGCTGGGAACCCAGAAACTGTGCTGAGAGTCTGTCTTTGCACACCTGTTCTGTCAGTTCCTGCCTGCCTGCCTGCTTGCAGAAAACATTTTTACCCCTTAATTTTCAGTTGTCATTTAAAGAGAAATCTTTGAGAGACACAAGTTGGAGGCTCCTCTTGTGTTTGTAAGCCAGCTGAGGATGTGCCTGAGCTCAGCCAGCCCTGCCCAGTGGTACCTGTGGTGCACTGCCAGCCCTGGCTGCGTGTGCTACCTGTGTCTGCAGCTCACAGCTCGCTGCCACTTGCTTTGCCTCTCCCATGCCTTGGAAGTGCCTGCTCCCCTAATAGAAATGGTGCAGTCAGTGTTTAAAATCCTGAGATGAAAAATGGATGCAAGCAAAACCACCTGGTACTGACTAGCAACACTATTAAAAACACCTGCTGAGGCAGAGAGCACACAGTGGGAGCATCAAGTGTGTGTGCAGCACTTTGCACTTGAAAGCACAGGTTTCTGGCATTCTTTTCTTCAGAGGCAGCCATCAGCAGTGGCAGCAGCAGACATGGCAAGCATCAGCAGTTTGTCTAATTCCGTGTAGGAACAGAGGGGCACTCATCTGTTCAAGCTACATTCATGTTCTGCTTTGAAGTTTCTGTCTGCTACAGTCTGGCATCCCTGTCCTAACCATTTATTCTAGTGGCATCTTGTGAGGAAAGCAGGGGAAGAAGGACCCTGACCTCTTCTGCAGCTGTCATGAGAGCAGGGCTGCCTGCAGCAGGGTCTCTCCCCTTTGCTGGTGTAACTTCTCATTCCTTGACCTCACTGTGAAAACAGGATTTATATGTTTCTTTCATCATGTGAAAAAATACTACAGGTTTGCAAACGGTGGCTGATGTTCATGAGGCAGAGTTGACATTATAAATAAATACTTTAGAAGATTTACTACCCTATTCTGGAGGAATAAGAAGGAAAGGTAGGGGAATTAAGATTGACAGGGGAGAGTTGAAAAGCAGTTTGCCCTGTTTTGGGGAGGCAGACTCAAAGCAGGACCTAGCACTAAGGGAATATAATGTGAGATGCAAATTTAAGTTTAAAGAGAGGTATAAATTGATAACTTCAGCTGGCAGTGACTGCTGAGTCACTGAACTGTGCAATGTGAGTGAAGGGTGACTCCTGATCTCCTGTATGCTTCCTTCCCTTCTGTGCTATCCCATCTGTGTTTTCATGTTCTGTCAGTTTGGTTTCTAAAATCTTCAAGCTGTCTGGACAGAGTTGTCCAGGTATTTATGACATGGTTCAGCTTACACATCAGCCTGCACTACTGGGTTTTGGCAGAGGATGTTACTCACACGCTGGTTTGTGCTGCCTGTGATGTTTTATTAAGCTTTTTTTTTTTTTTTTTAATTAAAGCAGCTAT